TTCGGCCCGCCTCGGCTAATGTTGAAGGTATTTGGGAAACGATTCGGCCCTAGGGCTTTTTGATTTTCCCAGACAAAGTTTTACTGAATATTCTGAGCGGAAGAACCAATTTCAAAGAAGATACTTACGGATTGTGTGTTCACTAACAGCAACAGCAAAAGTAAGTGACTGCGTGTTTATATACTTTTGCTGTCAACGTAATTCAACTAAACAAGGTTATCGTTCCAATGCCAATGTATTTATTGCTGCAGAACATGGTCGGAATAATTATTATTTCTGCATAATGCACGCAAAAAACGAACAATTTAAATGCGTGAAGCATCTTAACGTGCCACAATGAAACATTTGATATTGTTCCAGCTGGGATCCAAGACGCGTTTGATTCAGCGTTTCACCCAATTTTTAGTTTTCCTCACGGTTTCCTCACTCCTGCTGGACTCCATATCTTTATTCTAACTTTTGGCGTTTCACCATCTTCATCCTCAGCTTTTTCAAACCCTAAATAAGGGGGAAGTAAGAATTTCATCTTTCATACTCAACGCAGCCTAATAATGAAAAACACATACAAATAATCACGGTGACTATAAATATGAACATAGTATTAATATAATATTAACGCAATATTAAGATTAAAGTGTAAAATATCAAATGAATATGATATTAACTGTTGCGCCGGTACGGCATGTGGCAAATCTCTTCCCAACCTTGGGCTGTGAAAATGCAGTTTTATTCAAGATTACTAGAACATACGGACCTATTTGCTACGGACCTCGTGCCTACCGGCACTCGGTCCTCCGCACAAAAACCTCGGTGAATAAAACGCATTTTCCCAGCCCCGGTCGGGAATATATAATCCCGCCAGTTTTTATCCATGACCAGCGGCGTATTTAGAAAATCGCGAAGGGGGGGGCCAAGGGTTTGGAGGGCGCCACCTCACCCAAGGAGGGCGCCATACGGTCGCGAGATATAAAATCACTCAACGGGGGGGGGGGGTTGGGAGGCGTTTTTTACCATGCCACCAGTTTTTTTTTGCGTAACCTCGTATAGGTCGTGCTGCATTGATTTTGCATCGTGTGTATTCTTTATACTCCAGGTCACAAAAGGTCAAGTGGTCTTGAAATGCTGCGCCGAAGGCGCGCGAAATTTTTGAAAACAACCTTTTCCTCCGCTTTTTAGGCACGCCTTTTATACGATCACTGTTCAAAGCTCCTCTCGCTCTTTTACCAAATTTGAAGGTATAAAAATACCTAAGGTTTGGTCGGGCCGCTGCCACACAAACTGTATAGAAAGCTTGGCTCATGGGTGTCGATGTATAAAAGTTTATTGGCGGTGGCATATCTACGCACCAGATCACCGTATCGGATTGATACCGGAGCGCGAGATGCGTAAACATCATCCAAATTACCTCAGACCAGCCTTCATAGCCTTCTCACAGGTGCATACAGTGTACCCACATAACCAGTTTCAATCACCGAAACTTCAGATGCCTGCTGTTGCGGCCGAACCTGTTGACAATACTTAATCGTAATACATATAGATGCCATGATGCACGTAAAGTAGGATCAATCCGTTAAGACCAAAGACGTGTTTTATGCATCGTAGAGCGTAGATAGTTTTGGTAGGTATAGGTACTTCATTCATTGTGCTGAATGCACGTTCATTTGTGGCAGTTTTCACAGGCAAGACATCAACTATGTGCAATAGAACGACTAAGTTGAAGAACATGCCAAAGGAGTAAATAAATGATAGGAGGGCAGCGATCAACGGATGTTGCCAATAGGTAGAAGGGCTGCGATCCACAGGAGGGCGCTTATAGGTAGAAGAGCCCCGATCAACATCCCGAGTTTCGACAGTAGGGCACCGATAGGTAGGAAGTTGGCGAGCAGCAGGAGGGCGCCAATGGATAGAAGGGCAGCGATCAACAGGAGGGCACCAATAGGTAGGAGGGCCCCGATCAACAATCAACAGGAGGGCGCCACCAGGTAAGAGGGTGGCGAGGAACAGGAGAGCACCAATAGGAGGGTGGCGATCAACAAGAGGTCGCCAATAGGTGGGAGGGCGGTCATCAACTGCAAGTCGCCAATAAGCGGAAGGGTGACGATTAAAATGGGGGTGGCAATGGTGAGGAGGGCGCCTTTGCTCAAGAGGATGACACGAACAGGAGGGCGTCTGTGCGGAGGGCGCTGGTCAACAGGAAGGTGCCAGTAGATAGGAGGGCGGTGATCAACAGGAGGGTGCCAGTGGTTAGGAGGGCGGCGATCAACACGAGGGCGCCAATAGGAGAAGGGCCCCGATTAGCATTCAACAGGAAGGACTAGGGAACCAATAGGTAGGAGGGCGGCACTGAACAAGAGGGTGCCAAAAGGAAGAAAGGCGGCCTTCAAAATTTCACATGAGGGCGCAATAGGTAGAAGAGCGCCAATAATTATGAGGACGCCGATCAGCAGAAGGGCGGCAATGTGTAGCAGGGTGGCGACCTACAGGAGGGCGCCTTCGGGTGAGAGGGCGCTTATTTACAGGACAGCGGCTTACATAGGCGACCACCGTTACGCTTAGAGAGCTACAGCCTACAAATGTGGTTGGAGGGCGCCCGAGGGAGCCCTCCAACCGTATTTGGAGGGCGTATTTGGAATGGGCGTCCTCCGAGGGCGCCCTCCATCCGTATTTTCCCTGTAAACACATTCGCGATTGGAGGGCGCCCTCCAGTCGCGATTGTTTTTCGATTCGATTATATCACAATTGCATTTGCGATTGGAGGGCGCCTTCGGCGCCCTCCAATCGCAAAGGGCGCCTTCGGCGCCCAAGGGGGGGCCATGGCCCAGTGGCCCCCCCCCTGCCTACGCCCCTGTCCATGACCATGTCTCTACGTAAAGTAAGTACCTAATCTTATCCCATTGATTTTCAGATAAGATTTAAATAAATATACGTATACAGTAAAAACTCTGATCGTAGACTTCAACTATTGGCGCAAGAGCCATTGATTTGAATATGGTCAATTTTGTACCTTTGACCTGACCATGATCAGTCATGTTACATTGAATTCCCAGTTTCAGGATAGCTTCTGATGCATCTCGGTGAGATCTTTCCAACGCCACCTCGCGCGTGTCCGGCTGCAATGCTGTTTTACCAGCCAAGTGCATTCATATTCTTTCTGTGCTACCGCCGATAATGCATATCCAGTTGTTCTGTTCTGGTGTCGTTTGATTTAGCTTTTCACCTTCTATCTCAAATTTCTTTATTGGTAGTCGCTAGGTACTCTTTATTCCGGAGCCGTCGCCAGACGTCTGCGTGTTGCGGGATTTCTATTCAGCTAAGACGCTGCCGATGCTTCAGACGTCATAGACAGACACTCCGACTTGCACGTAACCCATTAGGAGATATTCCGTGCCGCCCAACATACAGCCCAGGGCCCCGTGGAAGTGGTGGGAACAAAAGGTTCGTGACAAAAAGTTTATTCAAGGCAAAAAAACAGGGTAAAGAGGCTAAATTTGTCAGGAAGTCTTGCGAAAAGATCCAAATGAATTAAATACCTTGCATACAACAATCAATACACGTTTTCAAAATATGTTGAGAGGCGTCGAACAAAGAACAGGGCGAGCTGTTGATGCATGTAAGAACCGGATATGATGCAGCCGACAAGGACTGATTACTAAAATATTTCAAAAGCTCTTACCGGTCGATTTAAGGGGCATATTTGGAATCAACGAGCATTCCATTTTTTTTTTTTAGTGTTTCCAGAATAATGTCAAACATTTCTTTCTTTTTTAGCGCAAAGTTTGAAACAATTTTCTTTAGAATTATTGTAATGAATTATATAAACCTCAATTATATCGATAGTGGAAAGCAAGTTAGATTTTTGAATGACCGAAACACTAAGTTCAAAAATATTTAACATTGCTTTGTTCATGGCATGGATTAGGTATTCCTGGATCGGACACTCCGCCGATTTTCCGACCACCCGGCGGCGGCGGCGAATTTCCCGACGGCGAGGGCGCTGGCGTCATTTTAGCATTGCGGGCTATGGGCGAAGCGTGTCTTTTTGTATACTTTTGTCGTTTATTACTTACCTATAACCGATTTTGATGAAAATTTTTGTGAACCAAGTAGAACAGGAATTGAGGAATGTCATGGAAATATTCTTTTCCCAGGTCTGATTTAAGAAGTTGCTTAAATTCTGCTGACAAATGAGGGTTCGTGATTACAGCCGAAGAGCCAATGTTGGAATAAAGTTACGTTTTATGCGATAACATTAAAATAAGTTGATATTTGTATTAAATCATCAATAGGAACTTGTTTGACTGCCGAGGAACGATGATATTTGATGATAAATTGCATCGGCAAGTCAAGAATACCGGCTCAGTTTATGGGCATCAGGTACTGATTCCGTATGTGATAGTGACTAAATGGAGCCATAATAATTATAAGAAAGGACTAAAAATTATGTTTAAAGTGTCTGAAATTGTGTCTTATGAGCTAAAGTTCGCTAATTTCGCCCTCCATTACCGCGTTTTTAGCACGCAAGCCGGTGCGGCGGCCGCCGTCGCACTCGCCGCCGATGTTTCGGAGCTCCGCCACCAGGGCGGCCGCTTGGTCGCCGGCGCTAGTGTTGGGGAATAGGGAGTGTCCTATCCAGGAATACTTCATCCATGTTCATGGTGTAAAAGTGGAATGTTCTTTTCATAACTCACTCCCGTAATTTGACCAAACTCTGCTGGGCACGCCAGCTCGATCGGAGTCCGAGGAGTCGGTGTCCATCGTGTCAGCCCGACCTCCGAGTGTCGGACGGGTCGCGACTCGCGACTTCATCCCGTCCGCCCCGCACCCCGCTCTCCGACGCGGCCGGCCGACCACCTCCGCTGGGCGGTCGATGTCGTGGGCGGGGCGTGCGGCGGCGGCCCCGCCCACCGCCAGCTCGGCCAATCAGCGAAGTGGCTGTAATGATCAGATAGTAGCGATAGACGACTGTAATTGACTCGCGGCCGGCAATTTGTCTCGTTTGTATTCTATTAGCGGCGGGTGGCCTGATAGGCGGGACTGGCCGGCCGGCCGCCAGTGTCGCTCCGAAGCGCCGCGCCGACGCTCCGCCATGGCCGAGAAGCGCTCCTTCTGCATCGAGTCGCTGCTAGCGGGCGAGTCGCCGCGGCTGGCCTCTCCGGCCGGCGAGCGGCGCGGCTCGCCCGAGCAGCCGGTGCGGCCGCGGCCGGCGGCGCCGCCGGGCCTGCCGCTGCTCGGGCCGCCCTTCTACCCGTACCCGCTGGCGCCGAGTCTGCCCGGCCTGCTGCCGCCGGCCTTCCAGCACGCCGCCGAAGGGAAGGCCGTCCCGCAGGTGCCGCTCGACTGGCTGGCCGCCAGGGCGTCCATGTTCTACCCGCGCTACGCCGACCTCGCAGGTGGGTTCCGGGGTGGGTCCACCCCGCCAGGTGAAGCTGCGGGTCAGGGTAACCTCACCAGTTCGACCAGCTTGTTAGGTGACCTCAGTCTGGGTCAGTTTCACCTCACCCGGTCAAAGCGATCAACAACTAGCGAGACATTTAAATAACAAATGGACCACTGGTCTTTGGCATAAATTTGAGACGCTACATGTAAGTTTATTCCTACGTTGGATTGCTTTTGAAAAGCTTCACTTACGTTTGCTGATAAGATGCCTTTTTAAATCTTCAATGCATGCATTAACTTCAAACAGATTCCTTGCGCGAAAGCCTACTGATAATTTTTGCGGGTTCAGGGGTCTTGTGGTAGCAGGACTCAGGAGCTGACTGAACGGAGCCATGTCTCGGTTGCATTGCATCCAGCATCAGCTCGCAATGTTGTCTTTGTTCAACGCATGCTGTGTATTAAGCGACTGTGAGTCTCGCCTCCGTTGCCATTTTCATAAGGTTATTGATATGATATTCCATTCCACCAGTGTGGCACAGCACACTTTCTTACAACACAAAGTTTTGACATTGGTAGTTATCAGTTAAGTCAATTATTCTGCTTACCTACGTCTTCAACCGCAAGGTGAAACCACCACTTCATCAAATTGTGTGCCAGATAACAGTCGTGAAAACGGTTAACGTTCCAACCGCAAGCCACGCCAGCTGAGCGAGTGGTGGTGGACTCCAACCGGTAGTATATAGCCCGAGGCCGGCCCGAGCCGTTTAGGCGCATGCTACTTATCCTGATTTCCGATTATCTGCTTTTGGCGGCTGTAAACCGTATGTTGACGGGTCAATACACAGCTGCCACTACAGAGGCTGGGCCTGGGCCAACAGTGGCCCGAACCAGCCCCCAATACGCGCTCATATCTCTCAACGCTCTTCAGCCCGCGTTAGCCGCTGACCCGAGTCTGGTCAGTGGAGCGCTGTCCGGTGTCGGCTCGTTATCAATATGCGGCCAGCCTGCTGGTGTTTCTCGGCTTTTAGTTGGTGATATTCACGTAAAGTGTACGGATCATCACTGAGAGGCCGAGAAACGCCAACAGCTGACTTCTTGTACGTGGAAAACCGGCAACATGCTTATTGAAAAGCGACAAGAAAAGGCGCACAGGCTCTGTCTCGCCGTTTCGCTGACGGTTCACAGTTCACATCGTATTGCATCTGCCGACCCGTGCCGGTGTCATACGGCGTAGTTAGGCTGTGCCGCTTAACACTGAAGTCAACCGGCACAGCCTACCAGTACCAGGCGGCTGCTGTCGACGTAAAACATACGTAACCGATGGATAAAGAGTCGTGGAACTTTATTCTGCAACCGATTGCAAAAGTCACTCGCGCTGCAAGACAACATTCTCTCGGAGATATTCAGCAAAGTTTTCTCGTCCACAGCAAGACAAACACGATCATCGTGTTAGCGGAGCGGAACATCAGCCATAGTCTCGGATCCTGTCCCCGCTCTGTCATCGGCCGTACAAGTTGGTGCCCTTATAAATTGAGAGTAATTTCGCTGCCTGCAACAATATCGGATTCCCAAGAAGCTTATTCGGAGGCCTTTAGCTGCAGCAAGGTCCATTTTTACAGATCGCACCAACCTCATGCCTCCATACTAGGTATACTAGCGAATAGGCTCTAAGGGCAGCGAAAATCTTTTGCATGCCTTGCGATTTACCATGAATACCTGAAAGCTGGGAAGAGTTCCCAAAGATGACGCACTTGTAGCATAATGATAAGTAGTCTGACTTATCATTATGCCATAGTGGCTGAGACTATGGCAACCATATAGAACAAAAAGCAAATTGGCACAAAAAATGTTTATTAAAAAAGACACTAGGCCAACCAAACATGTACAGTAATTGCACACATTTTGATATTTCAATTGATGAATAATTGGGGAAAAAAAGAAAAAAAGAAAGTATCAATTCACATTGGCTAAAAATCACGTTAGCTCCACCCAAGTACACTAAACCCAAGAAAGTAAATTTTGGAAACAAATTAATCACAAGTGTTCAGCGCACAAACGCCATCGAACCTCAGCTGGAATCTATTTAGGAAGTCGATATCGTTTCGTTCTTTGGCGCGATGTCTCAGTGATCAGCGATGGTTGCAGTGATTCATCGGATCAGTTGGAAACTTTGTGTGACAATTCTCAGAGTTACGGTCAACTCTGTCGGATTTATACACCAAGAGACATCCGACACTCGGTTTCGGACCAGAGCTCAGTGTCAGAACGGAAATTTATCACGATCAACAGCGAACGGTTTGTCTGGGTAGCAGGGTTTCACTATTACTGTGTTGTTAGGAAGACGGCGGCGCTATTAGTATTTTGGATGATGAGTTGTTTTTGTTGCGGAGTGATCATGTTCATCGACCAGGATTCTCGAATTAGTTAGCGCTGAGTTGAGGGAATAATGTTGTGGCTCGATGCATTTCTAGTATTCTTTTGAACGAAAAAAATGAATAGTTAATTGATGGTTCCGAAGGGAAAAAGCATTCTTATCCCTCGCACGACCAGGCCATTTCTCATAACACGAACGATCAGGGGGGGGGGGGTTGTTACGACCCCCCCCCCTGGCGTTTCGAAACGGAAGGTCGTAGAGCTTAGCGGAAAAAACCAACGGATTGCTCTCAACGAGATCTCGCGATTGGTGGTATATTTTTTTGGTCCTAGGTCAACATTTGACCTACTTTTGACCGGTCAAAGGTCAAATTTTCGGAAAAATAGACTTTTTTCAACTTTCGGCGGCGATTGCGGCAAAACGGTGGGAGATATCGACTTGAAACCTACACTATCGTGTTCCTTGATCAATTCCCTATCGTTTGGTATGTATTTCGTTTCCCTAGCTCTAAAAATGGCGCGTTGGGAGCGCCGGAAGTCGGCAAGGTCACAGTCGGCGGCAGAAATTCGAAAAATCAAAATTTAAATTTTTGAAATCTGATTGTATTTTTGGATTTGGGAGGTCCATTTGCTCCCTATAGAAGCTAATATTGCTGCATATTCCCATTGAGGTGACAAGAATTAGCAAAATAGTGGTTCTGGCGCTTTTCAAAAATAGTACCGGACGCTGTTCCTCTTGTGACGTCATAGCTCCGTGACCTGACCTGACCCGGTCAAATTTCTTATACCATATGATAGCCAATACTTGCCCCAACATGCATGGGAAGTTTCATCACGATCCATCAACCGATGTCCGTACCACCGGCAGGAAACCTCGGGCGTTGGCACTCAGTTTGTGAAAATCCGGCCGGAGGCTGTACCTCTTATGACGTCATAACTCCGTGACCTGACTTGACCCGATCAATTTTTTTTCGGCAAAAGATGCGCAAAGGTTGCCCCAGAGGGTATTGAAAATTTCAGCCCGCTACGACAAGCCGTTTAGCGTGCACTTCGAAAAAACCTCAGGGGGGGGTTGATACAACCCCCCCCCCTAGGCGTTCTAGGGTTAAGAATACTAAGCAGCCTTTGAAGTCATGCAAATATACTTTGGAAGGTATATTGCAAGGTATTTTGACATTGCAATTTGCAAGTCAATGGATGGATTAAGTGCGCTCTAATCAGCTTAATGACAGCTAACTACATTATATCCACTAATATAGCTGATACCTTTTTAAAGTATCAGAACAGTCATCCCTGGAAATAATATATAAGCATGCCTATTGTCTGATCTGGAAGCAGTGTTAATCATCTACCTACTCAGAGTAATTTGCCTAAAATTTGCTCGGCTGATCAGCACTGATTTGTCGCGCTGCACACAGCCCGTGCCACACGGGCCGTGCCGCACGGGCCGTGCCGCGGGGGTACCGGCTCGAGTCCGCGGCGGGCGCGGTGCAGCCACTCACCATAATCACGCCCGGTCCCTCGGCACCGAGCCGCGGCGCCGACCGGCCCGATCGGACCTGATGAGAACCTGACATCCCTTTTAGGCGATCACCGCACCGCCGCCGCCCGTTAGCGGGCTACGATCGGACGCCGGTGTGCACCCCCCCCCCCCTTCCCTGAGGAGGTAGCTGGACCAATCCGGGCTGATCGGTGGGCTCCATAGACGCCTCAGGGACCCCGGGCTCTTATATATTGGCACTGAGAGCTGACAGATTCACCGGGGACCGCCAACCGTCTGCTAACAGCCGAATGAAGTGGTGGCGCTATGTTCGGCACTAAATCATGTTATTTATCGATGGGAGTGATAAAATTGATGGAATATGCTGCTGCAGAGCTGTTGGACGAATTTATTTCTTATATAAGGAGAACTTCGTAAAGGCACCTAAAAAACAGTTTACTCGTACACCAATTTGATTTTAATTTCATCAGACTTGACACATACGAAGCCATGAAAGTGTTTTAATTTACTGGATCAGTGTTAAGAGTGGGTTGCAATGAAACATTAATCCGGCATTTGGGCGCGTTGTTCTATTAGGCTTCCTTCCAAGCAGGCGACTGGCGAGCACGATACAACGCATACCTTTCCCACCCTTTTGGTTTCGTTATGAATACCTGTAAGCCCTCCAGCTTTAAAGTTCTTATTTCTACAAACAAGCTCTTAAGTTATTCTAAACAGTCTATTCGCAGCTGATAAAATCGTCAACGCGAGGAGCCATTACCACCTCGGTTACTATTATTACCAAGCATATCGATATCAAGTGGTTGGGTCCAAGTGTCTGTGCTCGGGGCACCATAAACACATGAGGTTTTGAGCCACAAGAGGATACAAGTGTGACATGACAAGTGCTATCTAGAATACACAGCTTACCGGGCCATTCAAACGTCGTCCAACGGAGATTGGCTTCCCAGAACATGAAATCATGCGTGCTTCTCTAATCCTCGGTGTTAGCAGCGCTAATCATTGTTTGAACTGAGCTGCACACAGTCTGCCCAGGCTGATCTATACCTGAAGTCGTGTTTGAATAACGTCCTGTCAATCAACATCAGGCTACCGATGCGAATGTTAACGATCAGTAAAATATCAATAACACTATTAGGT